TGACCAACTGCAAAAAATCGCTCTGCAGTGGTGCATATATAATCCAGACCAACATCATCCAACAAAATTTTTTGAACGATAAATGTTGCGACCTGCCACACGAAAGGAACTTTATTCAAAAAAGATACAAACCTTAAATAATAGCAATAAATGTCAACAACATTTTGATCATGTATAGATTCCAGCATCCACCATAATGTGCATCTCATATGCCTAGCAATACTGCTAGAGCCAGTTGATTCAGTGTGCACAGCATGCTCCCAACTGTACTAATCATGCCGAACAAATTGCACAACATGTGTGGAAATTAAGGAGTCCTAACACCCTTACTGATATAATAGGCAACATTTTGTTAAGGTTCACATTCTTGAACAAGTAGGAAAAACTAGAATAGGCCTCTCAGAAAAGCCATTTCTTCCAGTTGAAACTTGCAACAAATTAAGATAATTTTTTCTTATGTGTTAGTATTATCATACATGCGCATGTGAGTGTTTGTAAAAATTTTATAGTAGACTAGAAAAAAACAAAAAATTACATTTTCATAGATTTGAAAAAAAACTATGTTATAAAAAGCTTCACAGTTCCAGAAAAATGGGAACCAGACATAATTAGCAAATGGCTTTGCCCTGGAAAATGAGCTATAAGAGACAAAAGAAATTTCCAAATATTTCACAAAGCTAAGAAGCAGAAAACAGAACACTCAACTGTTTTTGATAACTCACTGCCCATCTCCATGGTGCGGAGGCACAGAGGAATTATTTCTGTTGAAAGAAGGAAGCTAATGACCTCTGTATCATCAACCTGGTGAACAGAAACAAGTGATTAGATAAAATCCCTTGAAATCATGAAGATAACAAGATTCATTAACTGTAGTAGGGGGCCTGTCTGGAACCATTTTACACTCCCTCTTCTTAAATCACTTGCTAAAATAATATATTTTACTAAACTTAAATTCCACTTTACACATTTTTCTTTTATTTTTGAAATAACCACTTCAGACATTTTTATTGTAATACCCTAATGCAAAAACTGTCTAGAAAAAAAAAACAATTACGATTTGTTTG